GGTGACAATGCAAACCCTTCAAAATCATCTCATCTCACTGTAGTTCAATAAGAGTTGCAAGTCTGAATTCAGCACCGTGCAACACCATCACAGGAAGTTGCATTAGGTAAACATCACTGGCAGGCTCAACTGGTACTTGTGCAACCTAACACGAGGACTAAGAGAAAATAAGTGCAGATGCATTTATAATTAAGTGCTGCAGCGCAATTTTTTTTTTTTTTTAATGGTAGGTCATAGTTCAACTTTAGCTTTTTGCTTTTCAGTTTATATATATATATATATCCTTTAAAAGGGAGATAAGCTGCATTGAGGAGGTTTTTTTTCCACTCTGATAAGACTTGACCCATTAAAACCTTAAAGTCTAATTGAACTTTCAGTCTAAATTAACTCAATGCATTACAAGTGCATCAAAAGGAGATGTGCAAAGCCTGTGCACCGCCAGCAGCTGCAGAGTGGGACCCTTGCTCTCTGTAAAGAGTCAGCGTTCCGTTTGCGAAGGTCCAACACACCCCTCGTTGTCAGAGCTAGACCTCTACAGTCAAAGGGGAATATGAGCTTTGCTGATTGCAGAGCTATGGCTTAATGAGACCACTGCTTCCCCACAAAGAGCATGGGTTCCACTTTTCAGCTGCTGACAGGAGACTGGCTTTTCTACACAGGCTGTGCTTGCTTTAGTAAAGAAACAACAAAGGAATTGGAGGAATTCCACCACCACCACCTTGAAAATTTGCATTCGGAACCTACTCCTCCCTCCTCATGTCTCTTCCTTATTCGATTCGATAACGTTCCCCTCACTTCCACCTTCTTGTAAGGAATCCATTGATGCTGACATAACAGAGGACGAAGTTCGTTTTGCGTTACGTGATCTGAAGTCTGGTAAAAGAGCGGGTCCAGATGGTTTTTCAGCAATATTCCCATCTCCATACTTCCCAAGCCACCGGGGTACCCTCCAGGGTTGCCCCTTGTCGTCCATTCTTTTCATCTTGGCTTTGGAACCTCTTGCTACTTTTCTTAGAGCCAATAAGGATGTCAGGGGACTGACCTTTGCAGGCTTTTCACACAAGCTGTCGTTGTTTGGGGATGACATTTTAATGACTCTCACAACCCCTCACATTTCAGTACCGAATTTGCTGAGTTCCTTAGAACAATTTGCTAAAGTGTCGGGTTTGCGGGTTAACCCTACGATATTGCTAGCACTGAATGTATCTCTCTCTTCCTATACTATAATTACAACAAAATTCCCCCTTTCCCTGGAAACCCTAACTCGTTTATTTAGGGGTTACTTTGTCACCGACTTATTCGTCTCTCTACCAAGCACATTTCCCTGGGCTTATTCTTCAATTTAGACAACTTCTGTCCTCTTGGAAACATTTTAATATTTCTTGGATTGGCAGGATCAATGCAATAAAAATTACCTTTTCCCAAAATTGTTATATGCTTTTAGGGTCTTGCAGGTCCATGTACCAGCTCATGTTCTCCGTATCGTTCAGAGGGATGTCCTGTGGTTTGTTTGGGGAGATTGACAGGGTCAATAAACGCATACTTTTTTGTTCCAAACTGGGGGTTCCTAATTTGACCAACTATTACAAGGCAGCACAGATTGCCCCACTCACCCTCTTATCTTCTCAACATAACGCCCTTGTGGATCACTATGTACATGGTGGACTCTCACCCTATCTTGGTCTCCAATCTCCCCTGACTTCCAGCTTCCAAATGGCCTCTTGATTTGAGCCCAATTATGTTACACACCTTACGGGTTTGGGAAATATTCTGGTTGACTCGTTTCACCTCATCTCCCTCTTCTATCTTTGACTGGATGTCCGCTGTTTCCACCGGTTTGGATCACCCAGATTTGTTCTCCTGGTGGGACATGGCAGGCTCCCGGGATGTCCTCTCTTTACTCACTACCCAGGGGGCTAGGTTGTTTGCTCAACTCTGATCTACACATTCGGTTCTGAGTTCAGCAATTTTTCATTTCCTCCAGTTACAACATTATGTAGTCTTTACTTCAACCTCATCTTCCTACTTATTTGCTAGATCCAAAGGGATGTGGTCCCTCCAAGGCCAAGAGGACCAGTTGCTTCTTAGATGCAGGTTCAGCCATCCAGTACTTTAGACAAGTGTCCTATGTGTGTATTTTGACATGAGACCCATGCGGGAAATCTCCAGCAAATGGAAATTTAGAGCTACAGCCATATGCGCAACACATTCTATAACTGAGGAGTCAACTGCTATGATGCCTTTTAAGGGATTTTGACCAGTCAGCAATCATCTGACTATGTAAAGTCACAGCCAGGATGTGTTGAAGAACAGGACCTGCCAGCGGGAACAGTGTTCTAGAAATGGCTTCCAATCGCTTATTAGTTGGGTCTTTAAAGACAGGTGCATCTTTCAACGTTTTGATGGTCATTTTGTTCAGGTGGGACACTGCCGGATCCACAGTCTAGATAGTCCACTTTTGTACAAAAACCTCCCTAAATGGTTACAAGGTTAGAAAGTGTTTGGGGGTAGCAAAAAGCTTGTCAGGGTGTTTCCAGTCTACTTAGATAAAAAGCTGCAACAGTGGGTGTAATGGGAAGTCCTTAGGGGCTCTATAAGACCCAAAACTGGAAACAGCAATGGAACAAACTGATCCTCTAGTTTCATAGTGATGCACACATCAATAAGAGCCAAAACAGTCTCTTTTACATAGCAGAAAACTGTGAATCCTCCAGGATAAGCTTGTCTGGCAAAGACTGGAGCAAATCAGAATCAGGCAGTCTTTGACGCTCAGAAGGCCACGGGTAAATCAAATGTAGATTCTGCAGGGGTCATAAGGTGTGGGAGCCTCTGTTGGCAGTCACTAAATAACTGGGTTATTTGACCCATTAAGTCTTGCATACAGGTGAAACTCGAATAATTAGAATATTGTGCAAAAGTAATTGCAGTAAGTGCTGCAAAAGGGGCCCAAACCAAGTACTGAGTACATATGCATGCTTGTACTTTTCAGAGGTCTGATATTGTTCTATGTACAATCCTTGTTTTATTGATTGCATGTAATAATCTACTTTTTTGAGGTTGGGGATTTGGAGTTCTTGGGGTTTTCATGAGCTGTAAGCCATAATCATCACAATTATGACAAATCACAGCTTGAATTATCTTGCTTTGCATGTAATGAGTCTCTCTCATATATGTTTCACCTTGTAAGTTGCATTAGTGAAATAAATGAACTTTGCACGATATTCTAATTATTCGAGTTTCACCTGTATCTGTACTGAAAACCTCTGCCAAAAGGGCAGAGGAATGAACCACACCCAATGGAGCTAAAGAGGACTCTCATGACGGAATAGTCTTTAATGGCAGAGGGCAATATGATTCTAGGCTTCAGATGTCAGAATCATCAGTAGGCTAATTGCAAGCAGATCTATTAATAGAGTGTAAGCTCGGTCAACTATATATCAGGACGGTCCCCCATCATCAAGGGCCAACCACCCCCAGGCATAGACCAAAGAGGAATCAAGTGACCACCCTGAAGATTTTGGAAAAAGGTAAGCGTAACAAAAAATTATTCATGCTGGGGGGCCTCCAGAGGGGCAGGTGGCTGAGCCCAGAGTTGGACTTTACAGAACCTTTCTTGAGAGAAACAGAGGCT